TGTGTGTGTGTGTGTGTGTGTGTGTGTGTGTGTGTGTGTGTTATTACGGGTCAGATAGAGCAGGTAACTGATTAGCCAGTCCGGTCGAACCAGGTCTGTGTGGGAAGAGGAGGGCAGAGGAGGAGGGAGGAGGTCCATCTGTAGCTCCTCATTAGTCCGACTCCTAAAGCTTTTATCCCCAAACCTCACGCCCCGACCATGAATGCCTGGGCTTTCTTCGGCATTGTTGGCTTCAAATCGAGCTTTTGTTCAGCTAAGACAAAAGAAAAACAAACTCAGGGAGATGAGATCCTTAAGAAGGGAATATTCTGGAGTTTAGACAAATGAGATTTAGCTTTAAGCTGTGAGCTTAAAACAGCTGACAAAAATCCAAAAGCAGTAAAATGCTATGTCAAAGCTAAGCTTAGCAGAACAGCAGCTAAAAGCTAAAATTAGCAAAGGGGAAGCGAATAGATAAAATTAACAAAAGCAGGGTAAAATAGCTGCAAAAGGCAAGATAAAATTAAACTTAGCAGCTTAAAGATGAAGCAGCAAAATGCTAGCTAAAAGTAGCAGAATATTAGCTAAAAGCTAAGAAGACAAATTGCTGAAGCTAATTTTCAAGAGAAAGATGTTCTTGAAGAAACTGAAGGGATCAGAATTTATTTATGAAGCAAATATTTGTTGATTTGTTTTTGCTAAAAAATAAAAAAACAAAAAGGCAGGAAAACAACATTTTCGAAATGCTGACTCAGCATTCACGTTTTTACCTGTACCAACATTTTTGCAGCATTTGATCTCTAATTATTACTCTGAGAAATAAAATATCAGCTGCAGACGAATGAATGATTGACAGAATTAACTCCTGATGGCTCCGCCCCCTCTCTCTGAGTCTAGAATGAGGAAGTGAGGCTAAAATGCTGGGGTTAAAGGTGACTCCTGTTGCCACAGTTACCCTCTCTTCGCTCAGTATCAGGGGTCTTATCAGTACTCGCTCAACTTCTCTGGCTGATGGAGATCAATGCAAATCAGCCTGACATTCCAGCTCCCTGTGTTCGTTCTGCTGATCGATAAACTGATCAACCGTTGAAACGAGGATCGTTTGTTGTTCGGCTGCAGAGCTGCGACAACTTCTGCAGCTACCCGCACGAAACCTTTACAGCCTCGTGAAAACTTTCAGCTGCAGTTTTCTGTGGGAAACAATTTCCCATTTTCAGATCAATAAAACACGTTAACGACTGCAGCTGCTTGTACAGTTTTCAGCTTCTGAACTTCTGCTGCTGCTCGTAAAAACATTGAAACTTCCACCGCAGAACTGACTGGACCAGGACCAGCCGAAGAAGCTAAAACTCAGCCAGTAAAGCTAAGCAGAATTCCAGCTAAAGGCTAAGAGAAGAAGAAGACTTTCCAAAACCTATAAACAGCAAAATACTAGCTTGAAAATCAGAGCACAAGCTACAAGCTAAAAGAAGCAAAAATCTTGCTAAAAGCTAAAAGAAGCAGAATTATTGCTAAAAGAAAAACGCAGAACACAAGCTCAGTGCTAAAAGAAACAAAATTCTTGCAAAAAGCTAAAAGATGCAGAAATCTTGGTATTAGTAAAAAAAAGAGCATAATTCTAGCTAAAAGCTAAAAGAAGTAGAACACAAGCTAAAAGCTAAAATAAACAAAATACTTGCTGAAAAGCAGGGAAAAAGCTATAAGCTAAAAAAGCAGAATTATTGGTTAAAGTAAATAAAAGCAAAATTCTAGCTAAAAGCTGAAAGAAAAACACATGCCAAAACACTACAGAGCAAAATACGAGCTTAAAAAGCAGAACACAAGCTACAAGCTAAAAAACAAAAACAGAATTCTTGCTAAAAACTGAAAGATGCAGAAATCTTGGTAAAAGTAAAAAAAAGAGCATAATTCTAGCTAAAAGCTAAAATAAACAAAATACTTGTGAAAATGCAGGGAAAAAAACTACAAGCTAAAAAAACAAAATTATTGGTAAAAGTAAAAAAAGCAGAATTCTAGCTAAAAGCTAAAAGAAGCATAGCTCCAGCTAAAAGCTACAAAGTTCAATACACACCATCTCCTGAATGAGCTGAACGTTTTGATATTTAAATGTCTAAAAAAGTATAAAGTCTTCAGAGGTACTTAAACTACAACATCCATTCTGAATAATAATAATAATAATAATAATAATAAACTAAAAGTAAGAATGCTGAAACTTTCAACCTATTTTCACAACCTCTTCAGTTCTGTTGATGCACAGCTGAACAATCAGTTGGTTTTATTAGGAGAGCAGCCGATTGTTTCGCCTCGTTGTTCTTTATCGACATGAAAAACTTGAATAATGTGAAAATGTTCAACTAAAACCTGCTGCAGCATCACAGCTTTCTGTAGCTGCTTTTAAATCTCTGGTTTTGATTGTTTAGTAAGAATTTAAGTTTGTTCGTCTACATTTTTCCTACTTTGTCTCTTGAGAGCAGACAGGTCTAATATTAGCAGCGATGCTGATTCATTTTCAGAAATAAACCCTGACAGTAAAACCTCAGGTCTGCAGATAAACCTCAGGAATGAGAGATAATTTTTCTTCATCTTCTAAAGGACTATGAAAGTCTCTCTCCCTGTCCGCCCGCTGCCCCCACCCACTAAAACTCACCTTATCAGTGCGAGTCCGGGCCAACCCCCACCCACCCCACCTGCAGCGCCAGGCCACATCGCCACGGTTACACATTAACCAGGACTTCCTTTTATCCAGGCCTGACAACCCCGAGGTCACTGCCCGACCCACAGCCATCAGTTTCAGGTGCTGCTGCTGGTTTCAGTCCCCAAAAACATCCAAACGCACTTTTATTAAAAACTAGCATCACTTTAAATGATGCTGTTTGATGGAAACCTGAAAAACCAGAGTCAGGTAAATAAAATAATAAGTTGTGTGACGTGACGTCTGATTGTGTGAGTGAAAACAGAGAAACTAGGACTGATCATTTCACTACTGCTCACCATTAGACCCCACTGCTGTTAACGACCCGTTAGAACCAGAACTCTGTCTGGATGCTGCATGTGGTCCTGCTAGGTTAGCATGATGCTAACACCCCTGGAGTCACTGACAGGGCAGGGTGGTGCAGAGGGATGGGAGACTGTCCTTAATCTGATATAATTTCAACATGAAACACCATTTCTAACTGAATTTGCATTTCATGTGAAAATGCTCAATGCTAAAGGATTTGAGCTGAATAGCTAAAAAAGCTGAAACTTGCGTTAAAATAGGTTTTAGAAAAGTCTATGAAATGAACACAAAGCGCACATCTGCTGAATGAAGTAAGAAGCTGAA